AGAAATAAAACAATCTATATAAGAAGGAGAAAAAGAAATAAAACAATCGAAATAAGAACAAGAAAAAGAAATAAAACAATCGAAATAAGAAGGAGAAGAAAAAATAAAACAATCGAAATAAGAAGAAGAAGGAATAAAACGATCGAAATAAGAAGAACAAAAAAATAAAACAATGAAAGAAACACAAGAAAGAACTCCCTCCACCCCAAAGCAAAACAGCAAAAGTATTAGCCAAAGTAACAAGAACTCTAAAAAGAAGAGAAAAGAGGAAAGAAAGAACGAGACAGACGCTGCAAACGAGAGAGACAAGCACAGAAGGAAACAAGCAAACAAACAAGAAAGGGGGAAGCGCAGAGGGAGAAACGAACGAGCGGAAGGAAGTTAGCAGGTGCTATTTCGGTTGTCGTGGCGCAACGCTTCCGGAATGAATCACTCGCGGAGCAAACGCGCGTGAAATATACATCGCGACGGTTTCTTGAATCGCTGCCAGAGGAGTGACGCTAGAGAGAAAGAGAAAGAGAGAGAGAGAGAGAGAGATTGTGATTTACCAGGTAGGTGCACCAGGTATTTACCAGGTCGCGAGATCACCGATAACAGCGAGCCCCACCAAGCGTTACGCTGCCGCGGAATGTGATCAACGCGTGTTATTAGATCTCGGCCTCGCACGAGACGCGGCCGCGCATTTCCACTTTGACTGGGCTCAAGGATCCGCGACGATAACGATCAGCCACGGCTCATCTATCTCGTGGCTTTGTCCGTGGCTCTGTCCGTTTGTTTGTCAATTAGCTACGGAAATGTCACATGTCGGTCGCGAAATTGACCGCAACCGTGGATAATTGCGGACAACCGTGGAACAGTTCGCGCGTGTTTCTGCGCTCTGTTCTTCGGCATTGAGCTTCAGGCATTCAGGTGATTTACGAAGTACGTGAATATAGCTCGGTGGGGTATGATCTGCTTGATTGGGTTAGGTTTTGTCAGTTCCTCTGTGAGCGGGGACACGATACTTTAGTATCCTCGAGTAGTATCGTCGAGGCACGTGGGTGACTGCGAGTTGTTTGAATCAGAGCTCGTTTGATTATAGAAAATATTGAGATTAGAAGAATGTATGAGATATTAACTAAGCGATGGCCATGTAATATACGTGGAATTTAAAAGGTACTGCGGATTTTTACGCGCGTTCGGTGAAATTTCAAAGTGCATGCGCAAAGAGTAAAGTATTTATTCTAGCAGACGATGTTCTCCGTTTTCTTTTCTCTGTTTTCCAATCGTGTTTGTAAAAATTCGAAAACACATAAAAATCCGCAGTCTAGCAGTAATGGCTACGATTGTAATAATGGCTTGGTCGTATGTTTCTTTGGGAATGGAATACAGAGTAAGTAAATACAGATTTTAACGCCCTCGACTGGTATCGCTGAAGCATAGGTAAATAGATGTGGATTCCAGTGTGGATTTATGCGTTTGGTCTACATTTAGGGAGACCCAGGAATTTAGTGTGGATTACCACTTGACATGGAGTCAACTATGGATTTCGGTGTCGCTCGTAAACACGTTTCAGGAAATTATACTTACAACGACGGATGAATAAAAATTTCAAAGACGAGTGATGACGAAAATATGGCAAATTTGAAACAAAAAAAAAAAAAAAAAAAAAAAAAAAAAAAAAAAAAAAGAAAAAGGAAAAAAACAACAGGATTATATCCGACAGGAACAATAGATATAAAAGTATAAAATAAATCACTGTCACTAACGTTATAAAGAAAAAAAAAAAAAAAAACTAGCAGATTATTTACGTTCTCCATTGTAAATCCTCTTTTGTTCGTTGCAAAGTAAAATATACTCGAAATACCGAAATAATTTGAAGAAGCTTTCACAGATTCGCGTGTCTACACCTAGGGATCTAGGACTTGATCTGGGATCAACTCTGGATTTCCGCGTCAGTTATCTCGGACGTTCTCTCGAAGTAAACTCGAGCGCCTGCGACTTTCAGACGTTTCGGTGCTGCTTTATACCTCGTTACTAAACTCGTTACTTGCATGGTTGTAAATTTCGAACAGAATGCGCATTCCTTACAAGGAATTTGGAAGAAATTTCGCTAAATCCGCGCTATGTCTACTTGCTACTTGTATAAATTTGAGGACTTTTGCGAAATTTATTCCAAATTTCTAACGCTGCCAACGTTAAGAGCTTAAATTTGTTCGGTTGATTTTTGGAAAAGTTGAACTTCAATTTCGAACGTGTTAATCGTTCCATTTGCGTACTGGACTATACATATGTATGTATATATATGTACAAGTGCACGTGTACGGTTTGTCCATGCATTTACTCACAGGACACACTGTGGATTCGTGTGTTTGTCTACGAATGAATTTAACCACGAATCTAGCCTTGATCTAGGAGTAATTATCCTCTGGCTCTCACGTGTGACTCTCTCTACGCGTGTATTGATCTACGTGGTGTCACGTACGTACATGCAAATCCAACTCTGATTACACACAGTCGGGTCATAGTTGTCTGCGCGCAAAAAAACAGAAGAAGCTTTTATGGATCTTGATTGATTTTTTTAAATAGTGCAGCCACGTGGAACAATTTCTTAGATTCAAACATAAAATCCCTCTGAAAGTAAGTGTCCAAGTCTATGCAATTGAAATTTGGAATTTTTTTACGATTTCCCTTTATGATCTCCGATTGAAATTATTTAAAATTTTTTATCGATCGTTTTTGAATGCTTTGAATGCTCTGGAGACCATTTCTTTTTCCTTTTCTTCGCTTTATAAAGACGAATTATAAATGTTAATAATGTCAGTATTGTTGCAAATTAATAGAATGTTTCTTCTTCTTCTTCTTTTTTTTTTTTTTTTTTTTTTCGT